TTATCAGATAAATTGGAACCAAAAAATGCACATACAGTAAAAACTCTAATTGGTGCAGAGCCTTTCTGGTTATGGGGGAGGTCCAGCAACGTTGCAAATACATTTAACAGAAATGCTAAAGTTAAATTATATCACCTAACACGTTTAATTAACACTTGGTAATTTAATAATGTTAAAGTAACTAATGTAATATTTCTAATGCAACAATATTTGAAAAGTTACAACTGTACGGTTTAATTCTATTTACTCACCATGAATTCGAAGTGAAAGGCTTAGGTTCACAAGGTGTGGAAGGCAGAAGAGATATTTTTTGCATGCTTGAGTTTAAATTTCGATTTAAAGCTTTCGTGACTGCAGGGATTCATCTTCTTGGTTCTTTCGGTAAAGTCACATTCTACGTGACTTTACCGAAATAACCAAGAGGATGCTTGAGTTTATTTGTTATTTGTCAAATAAATATGAAAACAACAGTGTCTGAACAGAGGACGCGGATGACAGAGGTGTCCAATGGCACGGGTTCACTAAAATTCCACACAACAGACAAATATGTAGCTTTAAAATCGTGAGTGCACAATCACGGCAATAGTATAGAGATTTGCGTAGAACATCAACGCCATCAAAATCTATTGAATGTAGTTGTTGCCAGGCATTGTTGGTGCTGACAATTGTGTCGGTGAGTATTCAATGCTCCTCGTGTTCTTTTATTCTTGTGCCAACGTTTCATCCCATCTGGCCAACAAAGCATTGTCCACATGCACAAGTAATCCAGTAAACTCCTGCCTGTTGTTAGTTTGGGGCAAATAAAGTTTATACTTGGTACCAGGTAACCGTTGTTGCATTTTGTGTAATGGTGCCAAATCGTACTTTTGTATAAAAAAAAATCGAGCTGATTTGTCAGTTACTTCAGCAATATATACAGGAGTATTTTTTTATTGCATTTCAAATTAATCTTTGGATTGTCTGTAGGATTGCTCCCCAACACACTGGCTGGTGCCCCTGAAGCAAGAATACATTGTCTCCATTATAGTTTTTTTTTACATTAGATGGCGTAAATAGAAATGTGTTGTTAAACCCGCTACCATCCGAAACAGCCAATTAGTAAGGTTTGGCAAAAAAAATAAGCATGCAAATCGCTTAAGAATTCAGCACACCAGTGTGTTCGAGAGTAAACCCACAACATTTACAATTCGAGTATGACATTTCGCCGATAATTATCACCAGCGTCATCAGGCGACAGCCATAATTGTAGAGAAATCTTCTTGTAAAGTGTAAAATGTCTCATTTGTTCACGTGATAACTTTATTAATTGGCTGTGCATTGGGTAGAGGAGGGTTTATGACTCACATTTTACTCATGCGATCTGATACAAAATCAATTACGAATCACAATATTGATCACAGAAGCGCACGTGTTGATTTTACACGCCAATTGTATTTATTACGGTGGTCTGAGATAGCGTTTTTCGCTTCCTAATGTTGATAACTCCAGATTTAAAATTTCTGTACAAGATAACACTTAATGGTATACTGATGCAATCTAAGTGTATTTTGGCAGGGAGGGTTTTTGTTCTTTACTTTGAGAAACATTTCCATTTTTTTGGTAGCCTTTCTGGCTTACCCTGAATTCTGGCTTACTCAAGCCTGTCTTTGAGAGGGTGTTTCTCAGTTATCATTTCCGGATAGGATTCATGATTTATCAGAGACCTAAATGAACCATGCACCCCCAGTAAGCACTTATGGAATAATTGTCTCGTGAAAATGTTTTAATAACTAGCAGCTTAATTTTTTTTATATATATAAACTAAATAACAAAACATTAAATGAGATCACTATGTTATACATTGTCATTGCATATTTAAAATTGGAAGTAATTTTACACAAACAGAAGCACACTATTACTTATCACATGACCGGAATGCATCCACACATTGGCCATGATGTATTCAATGGTGTCATTGATGCAAAGGCAGTGTCTATTTGCAAAGCAATTACCATGTGACAGATTGCACAGTGCCATAGACTGCCATTTAGGTTCTGCATCTTTTCTGGGATTCCAGAGAATACAAATTAAATTGGAGAGCTCTTCAAATTGTGCCATATCAGCAAGGGTTACCTCAAAAGGTAACGCTTCCTATTTTAATCACAAGAGTTTTTTTTTATATATAAAAGAGAAAACCCTGAAATATAACGTTTATGTTAAAATTTGTATAGCTCCTTACGATTCTGGGAGAAAAAAAGCAACCTAATAAACATCAAATATTATTTTATTATTTCCCTTCTACGTGACTTTACCGAAAGAACCAAGAATATAAAATATCATTATACCTGGCCTTTATAGACTATGAAAATGAATTGGACTCACTGCATAATGTTGTTGTCATCCAAGCTCTCACAAACTGAAGCCTAAATAAAAAAACACATATTTAGACGAAACTCATGAAAAAAATGGAACAGCTACATTGAAATTTCACGAGGAAAGTAAATCAAATGCTTATTAGAAGAGAAGTCAGATGAGGAGATGCACTTTTCCCAAACTTATTCATAGCAACAGAATATACTTTTCAAAAAGTTGGATTTGAGAAATGAAGTCATTAATGCCAATGGAAATAATATTAACTATTTAAGATTTACTGAAGACAGTTATAATGACCAATTGAAGTCAACTGCAAGGAAATGATAGATGAGTGTAGTAAAGAAGGCAGGACAGTGGGGCTCAAGATAAATATGAGCAAAATAAAAGTAATGTAAACAAGATTACGTTTTAAGGTTACATCGCGTAAATGTTAATTTATCGTAAACCCACCTCCACCCGACACAGCCAATTGCTAATGTTTACGTGACAAACCTTACTACTCATTGGCTGTGTCGGGTGGCAGTGGGTTTACGACAAATTGACAGTTACGTGATTTAAACCAACAAAAACGTACTCATGAATAATGTTGGTTTGTGAAAGCCTAAGTTTTAAATTCATGTACAACAAGTTTGCTAAGCAGCTGAAGACGTCTGTCAGGGGAACACAACTGGAACACACATCAGAGTATGTTTTGAAAGGGGAGCTGTTGAAGGCAGATCAGGATCAAAATGATGAAATATCTCAGTCGATGAGAGCATGTTGGAGTTTAGTGTATAGAGAATGGCTGAAGGTGACAGTTATGAAAATAACAACCCGTAGATTCACCAGTGTGCTTACCAATTTAGTTTTGGGGATTAAGGATTATTTTCCACAAAAAATGTAAGCTTACAGCATTGGCATACGAATAGCATATTACTTCATATACTATATTCTTGGTTCTTTTGGTAAAGTCACGTAGAATGGAATCGTGACTTTACTGAAAGAACCAAGAATATGAATCCCTGCAGTCACGAAAGCTTTAAATCAAAACTTCGTATACTGTTAACTATTTATTTTATTTTACTAGGTAAGGCCAACTATATAGCTCTTTTTCAGAAGCGACTTGGCTACAAATGATAGCTCAACAAAGTGGCTTATCGCGTGGTCATTTATAGTAGCCAAATACTCGCAGAAAAGCCATGCGTTGATGATTCTCTGGAGATGTCAGAGCACAGTTATGGGAATTTAACTTTTGAGAATTAAGTCTTGTAAACTGTCCGAGGTGCACGTAGGCTATCATGCTAGCAAACAATTGTACGAATATGCTATGAACAATTTAGAAGATAAAATTTTCATTACAATGTTATTAAAACAAGTCATATTCATGAATGTTGGTGATCCAGTTTTTAAGGTATTTAAAAAGTGGCCTTTATTATTATTAAAGAACAGAGATGCACACGTTTGACAAAAAATGTATTTTCTGACCCCGAGACCCCATTCATGGCTGCTGTAATAGAAAAATAATAAAGGCTCCAAGTTGGGGTAGCGTCTTTGAATCACTTTTGAAATGCAGAACAGGGCATCAGAGCAAACCAGCTGGATAAGATTTCAATGGAAGTGTCATCTTGGCAAAGAGGTCATGCAGGAATGGAAAAATGAAATGAAAGATTTGATCTCCAAGCTGCCTCTGTTGTAGTTAATGATAAAGCAATTTCTGTGCATGCCAGACAATGTAGTATATAATGGATAATGCTGTTCATTAAATGAGCAGGCCCTCTAGCAGCCTATTCACTCATGGGATATTGCAAAAGGGGCCCTATATATGCATATAAATCACAGCTTCAATAACATGCCTAGACAGGGTTTAAAGACATTATCCATGCTCCCATACACCTGATAAACTGACAGGCTTAACTGCCTAATAATATCTGACATTTATAAAAGTGTGGTGGCTCATACAATTTAAATGGTTATAAAGGGCATTGCTAATTCAGTCTTCTGTAATGTACCATTAATCTGTTTAAGGACTACAAAAACAATAATTTCAGCCAAAATTATTTTGCCCTTTTTATCCAGGAAATTTAATCCATTGAAGCAATATAACATTGATATTGAAATAGTAATCTTATACAGCCATACATAAGCACAACGTTGCATATGTTTCACTGTAACGTGTCTTTTTTCATCTTTAATTATTAATATGTTAATTATAAATGGGGTAATTAACATTTCAAATGCAATTCCAGAATACGAAAATAAGTTTTCATAAATTTTATTAAAAAATATTGTAATTTCAAATGTATGGGGTAATGACCTAAGTTTGCTTGCATTAAGTGCTAAATGGGAATTAGTATGCTAAACACAGAGCAAGATTTGATGTGACCATGTATTATTTGATTGCGCCTCTAGAATGTCACAGCTCACAGATGACATTTCACACCGCGGCGCGGGATGCGCGCCGTTAATAGATTTCCGTGCAGAAAGACATCTTTATTCCACTTTCTGCGACCATTAATGCTGCCACTGAAGACATTCCTTATAACGTGTCCTGGAAAGGACCTGCAGTGACCCTTGGGGGTCCATCTCATTGCACTGATGTTGAGTAGGGCTGATGTAAAGCGTGCCCCTGAAGATGCCTTTGGCGTGGCTGTACGTGTGCGCTGCCGCAGATAACAAGCCGATCGCTCTGGACATTGTGCCACTGGGGATTTACAGCCTGGTTATACGGCGCGTCGAGATACACCACGCTGGCGTGTACGTGTGTCGTGCCAACAAACTGGGGGAGCGCAAGTTCGTGTCGGCCGCCGCTCAGCTCACCGTCTACGGTAAACGGCACGCGCATGCCACGGATAAAAATAAAAAAGGCCCGACGCTGCATCTAATTTCACGTGTTCCCCGTTTTAATACTTCGTCTCTGAGTTTTGACTGGCAACGCAATTCCGTGTAGCTGTTGGCCTGCAACAAACATTCGTTTCTGTGTGTTTTGAAACTTTTGACATGCCTTGTGCTTAATAAGTAACATCACCAGTGGGTAATTACTGGTGCTGGGATTATTTTGGTATGCATTTTTTTTCTTTCAAAACTCATTCTCCAAAACAAATTCAATGCAGTGAGGAGGAGGAGGAGAGAGAGGAGTTTCAGTGGGGAATGGATTGGTCGCTATTGAACTGAATACGATTTTTGAACAAAAATGTCTCCACTCTTCACTCATCCCCCAGTGACCACCATTAAAGCACATGGACAAGCAACTGTGTTTTATATAGCCAACAAATAACTCACATTTAGGTCATTTCATCTTTGTTTGTAACGCAGACACGTGGCATACGGATATGTTAATGTTAGAGGGCTAGAGATTTTAAATCTACCGATTCCTTGCCTTCATTGCATTGATTGAATATCCCATGGCATTTTTTCCATTACAGTCCATAATGTGCATCTTTATCAAGAAAGCATGCCTGTGTTAACCACATTTCCCAGTGGCAGGTGTGACAGCAGGCTTACAAATAAGATTGCCTTGCATTAATGGAAGTGCCTTTAATGATAGTGATGTGAAACTGTAACAATGTAGCGTTTTTAAAACGGCATTTTTGATTATTTTTTTAGAATATCCAAAACGTCTCACATGTTTTTTTTAAATATTTCTGGGTCACATTGCTGAGGTTTTCTAAGAGTTTATATTCTACAAAACATTTAGACTGAAAAAAAATACCATTTAATAGTTATTGATGTTTATTTTCTCTATATATCTATAAAATATATTCATAATAATCGCATATGTTTTGCTGTGCACTTTGGTTCCTGTAAAGATAATGTCTTATGTGAAAATGTACCATAAGTATAACTAGACAAAGCTCGAGTCATGTTAACGTCACTTAGAAACATGCTTTTCGAGTAATTGGCTGTTATCAATTTCCACATGATAAGCCACTTCATTGATCTATCATTTGTGGCCAGGTCGCTTCTGAAAAATATCTATATAGCTCAGTTGGCCTTACCTGGTAAAAAAAAAAAGTTTAGTTTATATTCCTGGGTTATTTTATGTTCAGTCTCTTTGGAAACATATCCAAATATGAGACGTAATTTTTTACATTCCATTGGGATTTACCAATGACAGTGGTGCAGATGGTGAGTGGAGTGGTGGTGCAGTGGCCACCTCACTTTGCTATGAGCATGGTGACCTGAGATTGATTCCCATCCACAGTTAATAATAGTGGTAAGTGATATCGTTACTGGTCCCGAGACCCACCCTTCACCAACCCACACTGACCAGTATGGTTAAGTATGGTCAAACAATCCACTTGACCGACATGGCACGGGGAGGCTTTAATAATACATTCATGATGATAATTTCAAATTCTAATGCGAACAATATGCACTCGCTCTTGAAGAGAGAGAACAACTTAGAAGCGTTAGAAACCAGAGACAAGTGAGAAAGGCAGCAGCCAGTTGATGAGCAGGTGCCAATTTCCCTCTCAAGCTCTGTGGTCCTCTATATGGTAAGATGTTTTCAGCCAATTAACGAGTGTTTATGCATGTGGGAGAACACTGGAGTATCTGGAGAAAAGCCACAAATGTGAGCGGGTAACGCTCTGTGAATACAGATGGAACAGATGGAGATGAGTCCACATTTTGTTGTTCGGTCTCTTGCTGCCGGCCAGGGTATGGTACTACGACACCCACGGGAAAGGAGTTTTACAACATTTGTGTGGTGAAACACCAACCCTCGCCTCCGCAGTGCTGGACTACAAACGTGTGCAACCACCGCCTGCTTGAACTAACAAATGGTTACAACATATTATGAATGCAATATTAACAGTATCCAACCAGGACTGGATTTCATTAAATTTGCCGCTGGGACACCAAAGAAGAACCCATACCATTCCACCGCCCACCCTCTAACCCTCTCACACATACAGACACATTCACACCAAAATCTCCAACCGTCATTGCTAAAACAGCTAACCACGCAAATACCAAACACCCATACTATATCCATTTTGCAATCAACATTATGCTACAAGCATTGGCTAGCTGCACACTATTGTACGAGGCACATACATGTCTGTTGTCCTTAACCACGTAAAATACATGGAATATGCCAAGTTAGACTTGACTTGAATTCAACTCACCTCCCAAGCAAGACACACGTTGCGATAGTTATAACTTGTGAATCTGATTGGAGGAAAGCCACTGGGAAGCCCTCCCTTGGACAATATCACGCAGAGAGATGTGAGATGATATTTCTGAAGGAATAATTGATTGAGAAACCTGCCTGCGGAAGGTCGGACAGGGAGAGAAACATTTAGGAATAAACACAATCAGGTTTTGTATAAGTTGTGCATCTCATTTTCATTTACATCAGAGGTGGAAAAAAGTACTGGGTAGCATGTGACAACAGGACAGTGGTCACCACGATGGACAAGAACATCTGTGCCTGGGATTTGAATAGTTCAAGTATAGCCATTGGTCAAGTACTTACAATGATAGGCGACGACGCTTTTGGCTGTTTTCGTTGTGGGGAGATGAATAAACGGTGAAGTGACGTAAGGGAAGGAGCAGTCCAAGAAAATTCCCTCCAAGCAATCACATATTCAATTAACTAATAGGAAGATTAGGGGAACACATTTTCCAGCCTTTTTCTCAACCTGGTATCTCTATGGAGTTAATGCAATTAGTATCGCTTTGTTGGTCGTCATCAGTTAAGTGTGGAGATATTAAATGCGGAGATACAATGGGAATATTTTGAACTTATTTTGCACTGTACGTAGCAAATCGTGATCATTGGAAGTGTGGAAGAAGGACAACAAACTCAGGATAAAAAGGCGTTCTCAACAAAAGAGTTTTCAATCTAGATTTAACAGTGCATTGAGGTCAGCGGCTAACCAATATTGGAAGGAAGAGCATTCCAGACGGAATACAGAGTCTTTTTCCATGGTATATTATAATGGCACAAATATCGATCCTGTAACCACCTGCAGAGAGAACTTGAACACAAAATTAAAACAGCAGGGCTCTCATGTTGCGAGACCGGTAATGTGTTAGACTGGTCAGCGGGAGGTATGGGATTGGTCAGTATCTGTGGAAGAATCCGTGGGGACAAATGAGTGAATAAGACACAATGCTAGATGGTCGTGTTAAAAAAAAAAATCTCTGCACACAATTCAAAAGCAGCAAGAAATCCAAACTACAGATTTATGTAATGATACCGTACTATATTTGACTTATTCAAAACGAGTGTATTGAAAATGGATTCCATTGAAATGTATTACTTCGTGTGAGGTAAAAACATTTTATTTATTGTTTCATGTGCACATCGATAATTGAATAATTCGTATCGTGCATAGTTCAGCAGCACCTGGGTAGTTCCGTGCAGTAATGGTACCACGTGGTGAGCAGACAATTGCTTGCAAGCATTAGAGCGCATTAGGCAACTCAGACAACAATGCTTGTATGGTCTGTGTGCCTGGGAGAACAGAAGGTGAGATGAATGAAGTTTGCTGATGCTGTCATCAGAAGCAGGCTCGGCTCCTCTCGGATGGAAGGGCCACTAGAGCTGTCGAGTGGGGTGCCACCATAACAGTGATAGATGGTGAAGGAGCGTGAATTTGTGCGGGGCAGGGGCAGGGGGTGCAGGGAGGACAGGGCCCACCCCAGAACCGCCCTAGCACTGACTTTGTTCGGAAGGCAGAATGGACACATTTTTTTAAAATGTTGTGTTGGTGCAACTGCAAGGTGTGTGGATTGATTGGTCTGAGGAAATAAAAAATATGGGCTGAGCGACGAGCCACTTTTGAGCCAGGATGCAAGCAATCTAGATTTGAAGTTTTCGTGACTGCAGGGATCCATACTCTTTGGTTCTTTCGGTAAAGTCACGTAGGTATAAAATAAATTAAATTAAGTCACCTACGTGACTTTACCGAAAGAACCAAAGAGTAAGGATACAAGCAGTTTGAAAGCAGCATCTTACGAGAGCAGAGGACTCTCACTCATAGCCACTGTTGGAGACTACGGATTCGGGTAGCAATGCTCCCTTTTTTGTGAGATGAGTATCTGATATCGCCTTCATCACTGAAAGACGAGAAGGAAACACCGGCCAATGAAGCTTCAGATTGCATATCAACTGCCTTCTGATCAGGATGAGAGCGAAGAGGTCGAGACCACCACCAGTGCAGTGTTCTATAGTATGTGCCTATTTGCAACGAAGTTCTTCATGCAGAAACAGTGATTTTATCGTGCTCCTTTAGAGTGATAGCCAGACATCCAGAAAACTAAAACTCAATGTTTCTTCTGCCGAGAAAAATAAAAAAATAAATGAGAAAACAATGGCAGGTCGTTATCACAAATGGATGTCTTTGCAAGATATTTTCAAGTAAATGATCATGAAATAATTTAGGATGGATGCATTTCACACAAAGTGCTCACAACTCAGCCGTGAAAGAGCCACAAGGTTCATCAGATGTTGAAAGCGGCCCATCTTTTAGCCTGTGAGAAGACGAATCGGCAGCTGAGGATGAAAATCCGAATCCGGACTTGGTAAAAAAAAACTCATTGAGGAGCCGAGCATAGAAGGACTGGGCTTGCCTCTCTCACAACAACTATGGTGCTCGCTAAACCGCACTGGGACACGATATGAGAGATGCGCTTACACCTTCCACAAACGTAAGATCAAAGAATCGCCGAAATTCGACTGTGGTGATGTCCAAACCGTCAAACGCATCGGCGATAAATGTGCCAAACATGCAATGTCCTGGCAATGCAGCTGTGATCCATACAGCACCTAATGCCTCCTTGGATTGGTTGAAAAACGTAAAATTCACCAGTATAACATATTTCAAAAGCATTGCTTTTTATGTTCGTACGAAAGAAGAAGACTCTCAGTAGATGGGAATTCCCTCAAAATTACAAAAAGTTTAAAAATAAATATATTTTTTAGTACCCAATGTGAATACGGTGAAAATAGGCCACCCAACCTATTCAAGATGGACTGCTCTTGCGCTACTGGATCCAGTCAATGGATGACAAAGTAAAGAGTAAAGTGTAATAACTCAGAGAGATTGGGTCCAAGTTTTTACGTACATTTAATTATTATATGAAATGCACTCTCAAGCTGTAGGTACAAAATGTATTACTCCATTCTGCTCTTTAGAAGGTCCATTACAATAATGTGTCTGTGACATGGAAGAGCCAATATCTGCTACTACACAGATTTTCAGCGTTACTATACAGCTCTCAGATGTGTATTCGGGTTGTACTGTGCGTTGTTTGGTATGAAGTCCAACGTTTCGCTCCAAATTCTGGGAGTTTTTTTTGCATTCCTGAAGAAACTCCCATCTTCTTAATGTCAAGCAAAACGTCCGACATCGTGACGAACAACACGCAGGTACAACCTAGCAGTACATCAAACTAACTTTTTCAATCTAATTTGTACACCGTTGCAAATTCAGTAATTCCAATTTTTTGTTTTCTTTTACATTCATCGTGGTGATATGTTTATTCTGGAATCACACTTTGTCTTTGGATTTATTAAATGCACAGACACGGTTAAAGGACACCATCCCATGGGCATTGGCTAGGTTTCACACCAGACAATCCCTCTCCCATTCCCCAGCTCATTGCTTGGCTCACCATCCGCACTCTCTGTGGTCCCTTGCTTGCATCCATTGCCCTCTCTTTGTACCTGACCCTCCTACCCCACTCAAAACCAAAAGATGACAACACTACCCCATGATTAATTGCTAAAAAAGTTATTTTTGCAAGATCCTAGCTCTTACATTAAACACATTTTCCTATTGTGCTATGTCACCAGTGCGAAATGGATTTAATAATCTCAAGGAATCAGGTACCGTAGCATTTCATCTGGGCAGCAGGCTGTAAGAATGCCATTAGGTGAATTTAATGCAAAGGAAAATAATGTGTCCATTATTGACCACCTAGCAAATAAGGACAAATCATGGGATGGCAGATTGACCCTGCTTATATTCTGTGGTTACTTATACCGTATCATAAAGTACAGTTATATTATTATCTGGATACAATTCCGAAAGATTTCTCCAACGCCATATCACTAGAAAGGAGAAAATCGCCTCTTGATGATGCAAATATTCATTGATAGCAAATAACGTTTTTCAACTCAAGTACCAAACTTATTGCCAAGCAGCTCGTGATGATAGTTTTGGATGTTCACTTGTAGAATATACTTTATCCTTGTTCAATAGCTTAGTTTTCAAAACCTTGAGCAAAACAATTGCCTTCATTGACTTTAAATTCAGTCATGTCACGTGTAGCACATTGAACATTATGCAGTCATATCTGCCTTGGTGTAGGGATAGACACTTATTGTCAGTTAATAAAATAGCATAGCAATTGTGAACACATACTGGACTCTGGCCAATTAAATTACTTCGTTTGCCTCACTGACTGTTTTGTGAACCTGAGGAAGTCCAACACTATCACTGTGTTAGTCTGAATACTGATCAGAGTTTTAGTGGTCAGAATCTCTAAAATCCATAAAAATATTTAAAAGGCTAAGGATATGTTGGTTGGTATTAAGTCATTGTATTTTGGTGCAACGTAATGTCGTATGCCGATTTCATGGTAGTAAATGGTATTCGTGTAAGCAAGTTTAAAAGACTGCCTTTTTATTGCCTCAATAAGATGTTTTTGCAAAGCCTTAATTAAGAACTCTTGTGCTCTGAGGCAGCAGAGGTTCTCAACCAGGCTTCGCCAACCCCTAATGGGCCACATTCACCAATAAGGGGGCTACACAAGGTCAAGTGCTCCATAAGGATAAGCATTAGAGGGTCCATGGAAAAGAGTAGGGCTCGTCACAAAAGCAACTGACTCTCTCCTCTCTCCTGCTGCTCGGCTGGTCAGGTGACACATGGTGGTATAGCCGTCCATTCATTACATATCATCTGCACTGCCAACCTTTGTCACAAACATGTTTCTCCTATACATGTAGATGACACAGTGAAACTCCATTTACCTGCAGCCTTCTTATCTGTGACACTTGCCATCTGCTGTGTCAAGCAACTCTGCAAATCATCTCCTTAACTATGGAGTAGCTCTTCCTTTTCTTAATTAATTCACAGATAATAGGAAGAATGCAAACACAGACACGATTCCCATTATGGTTTTTTTTTCACGGATAAGAGAAATTGGAAAATACCCACGAGGCCAAATTCCGCAAGGGGTCATTTTGTCTCTTAAGATGAAGGTTGTTATGTGATGATAATGGTTTAAATGGCAGGTGGTGGTGGCACACTATGGAGGTGACGGTCGGTGGATCACACGTACAGTATCTTGTGAATGTCCCTCCCCGTGAGCATTAAGGTACCCCGTGGCCTTCCAGAAGGATCTACAGCAAAAATGTGGATTCTTGTCTGTTCTGTCTGTATGGGTTAGAGTGTTTCCCCATCGCATGTTTAGTGACATCGGGGATGTCACTGTATGGTGCCGGCCGGAAGGGCCGTGCCGTTCGATGTTCCTACATAGTGGACAGCGCCGTGTGGGTGGCTGTGTGACACCAGCCCTAGTGGGGACAGCGCCGTGTGGGTGGCTGTGTGTAACACCAGCCCTAGCGTGGACAGCGCCGTGTGGGTGGCTGTGTGTAACACCAGCCCTAGCGTGGACAGCACCGTGTGGGTGGCTGTGTGTAACACCAGCCCTAGCGTGGACAGCGCCGTGTGGGTGGCTGTGTGTAATACCAGCCCTAGTGGGGCTCGGCGAACACTGGGATAGTGCGGGCACCACGCACAGCGATTGGTGGGGGCTCCCACGAGGGAGAGTGGGTGAGCGTCAGACCAGGGGCAGGGTTGCCCCGGGCCATGGCACTCTAGTTGACCCTGTAGACACGTGGTCAGGAGAGTCCACACAAGGGGCCCCAGGAGGGAGGGGCGCTAGTGGGTGATCACGTGTCCGGGGAGAGCTCTTGAGAAGGATCGAGAGAGTACAAGAATGCTCGAGAAGGCAGGCAGGGCCGAGGGCGGAGCGGCCCCGATCGTAGGGGGATATAAGGTGGGTCCCTGAGAGGGACCGGGGTCGCTGAATTCCACAAGCTGGAAGCTCATCAGGAAGCGGGAAGCTCTTTGTCCTACGAGGCAACCACGTGGTCGGAGACCCGAGTGAGGGTCCGACCCTTTGTAGCAGTAACTCCTCTGTATAGAGTAGTTAGCTGGGTGGTCACTACCCTCGGCTGTATCTGGTAAAGGGGCAGTTACCCCTTATGTTACGTGTTACAAATAAAAGTGTTGCCTCTAAAAGGAACAACGTCTGTGACTCAGTTGGACTCACTATACATGCTTTGGTTTTCTCCAGGTGCACTGATTGGTTTCCTCCCACATGTAAACACTAATAGGCCGATAACAACTTAATATATAGAGGACCGCAGAGCTTGATGGAAAATTTGGTACCAGCTCAGCTTCTGACTGTCGTTCCCGCTTGTCTGTGGTTCCTGACGGCTCTCAGTCGTTCTCTCTCTCGAAAGTCAGCGGACACTGTGCGCATTACGGGTTGAAAGTATTCTTATAAAGCAACTTTACTGGCTATGGGAATTAAGACATTTAGACCCCTGAATTGTTTGTTACCTCGGGTGCTGTCAATGTCTGTTAAGTTTGGTTGTCTCTTGGAGAGATTGGCTCCTGCCATTGTAATGTGGAAATCCTCCCACTAGCTTAGGACTGTGAGCAGAGATGAGCATTTTTCAATGCTGATTTGAGCATGGAGACATTTTGACTTAAAAAAATAACAAAAGTACAGTCTTGATTTAAAGCTTTCGTGACTGCAGAGATTCATATTCTTGGTGCTTTCGGTAAAGTCACGTAGAAGGGAAATAATAAAATAAAAACTATATATAACAATAAAAATTCTCACGACGTTTCGACTGCAACACAAGAAATCATCATCAGGTGTGAAATCCACAGCAAGTCGAAACGTCGTGAACATTTTTATTGTTTTATATATTCTATGCTTTTATTATTTCCCTTCTACGTGACTTTACCAAAAGAACCAAGAATATAAAAGTACAGTCATTAATTAGTTTTTTTCTGGAATGTCCACCGCATACAAACGCACATTGTCATGGGAACTGGACAAGTTTTCTAACTTGACAAGAATAAGAATCGACTCGAGAGGGCCTTTCGCACCGTGCCCCAAGAAGCAAAGATTCTAGTGGGTAGCAACCAGGGACTGTACTTTTTCTCTGTCAATATTCATGTGTTTTGTCTTTTGTTTTTGTTGTTGCTGTGCTCACGCACCACTGATCTCCCTTGTAAAATGGCCAGGAAACGGGCCAAATTGGATCATCCGTACAGCAAATCAAATGAACTCAAACTTCTATTTCAAGAGCCCTTTAACAGATTGACCCATGGCCTAATAGCTTGTCCGTATAGCTTGTATAAACTACATTTCCCGATTTACACCTCGCTTTTTTTTACATTTCTTCGTTGTCCTGTGAAATATCGAGAGCAAAACAAATCACGTGTAAAATAACGAACGAACGGATGTGATGTGAGGACAGCTCCTCCGACCATCACGCAGCACCCGGAGACGAGCACGCAGATGCGCGCCAGCACGGCCCGCTTCCTGTGCAGGTCCTCGGGGCAACCCGTGCCGCGGCAGCGGTGGCTCAAGAATGGGCAGCCTGTCGTCTCCAACGGGAGGGTGAACGTGCAGAACGGGAACCTCATCATCAACCAGGTCACTCACCCACCCACCCTCCATGCCTTTGATCGGCTCCGTAACTCCTCCACACGCATCGCCGGGCGTGTTGCTGGTGGTAATGCACTCGTCGTGTTCTACGTATACATTGTAATCCGTCGTATCTGAAGTCGAAATACAGGCGTCCGTGTTGTTCACGGTGACGTGAACACACTTGACAGGAGGGCCGCAAGAAGGCTTCTGTCTCCCATCCACTGAGCATGCAGTAAACCACTGCAGTCTGCACTCCTTCGACGGAGGAATACAACAACTACTACACGAGCTCTCTCCTGAAGCCCTATCATTGCTATCAGACCTCGGACATTGGCATTGAGCTCGTGCACACATTGGCAAACGTAATAATAGAATGCATCGTATCAGCAAACCTTCTCTCTGCTAGTATATGTGAACGTATGCTTCTTACTGTTATTCTGAGACCCCCTCCTAAGATCAATAGGCTGCGATATTGCTGCTATTGTGGAGTTCTTGCAGTGTACACCAGGATTTGAGTGCCTACTGATAACTTTTCAATATCATGGCTGGGTGATCTAATAAAATTATTTAAATTTAAACAGATGACAATATTCAAACCTAGTGGCCAATAATATTTCTGCTACGAATGTCTATGGCAGTTTAAATATATAAAAGAAAATTGTGTCATTATGGGCTCAGGTAAGTCCTAGGCCTTCCTTTTGTGGAATTAACATTTTAATTTCAGGCAATCGTCACACTTTAAACAAATAAGTAATCGTATAAAACTACTTTGCCTAATCTCCTCCATGTGTTTCTGTGCAAGAGATTAAGTGAAGCCTAATTACATCCCTCCAGTCCGCGGTATCCCAGAAAGGTCATACTCGGGGCTTCCTCGTGTGACCTCCAAGTAATGTGGAGGAGGTCGCACAAGTCCGGGACTCAATTTTGTTCACCAAGTCTTCCTTACAGAGACACCTTGTTTGAATTGCACGTGAGCGAGCCCTGTGCCCAGACATCACCCAAGTTTAGGAAATGTTTTCGTTTTATTGAGTGGTCACCAAGGGGAGCATTATCCCAGGCATTTTGGGGGAGCGGTAGTGTAGTGGTTAGTGCACTGCACCACGCATCTGGCGTCCCGAGTTCGATTCCCGCTCACGACCAATTACAGCCGCGAATATTTAAACCGGTCATGGGCCTCCGTTAGGTCGACTCAAACTCAAATGAGTACCTGGTGCAATGTATACACATTGCCACTCTGGAGACAAATGTGGTAGGGCGTGGCACTGGACATCCTCTTCCTCGTGTGCTTTGCCAGCATTCATAGGTTGTTTGCAAAACAGCACTTACCCAAAACGTCTATTAAGTCTATAGGGGGATCTTTGTCTTTGTTGTGTGTATGCATGTACGTTGAAAGTAATGTTTATTAGGTATCTATCCATAGTTAAATACTCAATGTACTTATCTAATATTTTCTGTAAATTGCTGTACATAGAAGAAGTGGGAAGTGTGCAGATATCGCCATGGTCCAGAGAGTTGCATTGAGCAAGCTTTATATTTTACTCGTGTTCATACGTGTTACCCTACGTGTCTAGAAGGCGGTCATTGCGCTGGTTAATTGTTTCATGGATGTAGCAGAAATCGTTTTGCTTTACAATTGTTGGTTAAATTGACAGAACATGGGAGAAACTCATAAAAGTGTAATGGCTAACACGGACAAGCAGTTTAACTGTGAGGCATATTACACGAATAATAAAACGTATAAATGGCAAACAGAATGGGACAACAGCCCGTAAATTCAACAGCCAGTTAAACAGAGACACATATTTTAAAATGTGTTTGCTATGTACAGTAGAGGATATAATTTGTCAATATTGTTATCTTTGAGGACTAGCAGATCCATGAATCTTGTCGTTATCTGAGAACGCCTGAGGATTTACAGATAATTTTGATGATGAATAGAAAACTTCCAACAAGCACTCTATCACAGCCTAATTGAAGTTTCACACGATGGCAAGGTGATCCAGTGTTTGCTCGTGATGTCTGCACTATGTCATACATCACGCAGAATACAGCACTGGGTTTCCACTAGGGGTGTAATTATTAGAGTTGCACCGAATAGCACCTTCTACTTTTCAGCACAACATCCAACACCCTATATGGTTTTCTGCAAATCCGAATTAGAGGATGAATAGAATGAATATGTATTTATTGAATAACGTGGCACGTCTCTTTGTCTTCACCTGTATGCCTAATTTTGTGTTTCTGTCTCCATCTGTCCCCCCCTTCCTATGTGTCTCTCTGTCTCCCTCTGCATTACTCTTCATGTCTTCATATGTCTCTTTGTTTGTCTTGCTTTGTGCCCCTCTATTCTTGTATCTGTCTCTATGTCTCCCTATCTCTCTCAACTCTGCATCTCTTTCACCATCATCTCTGTGACTCATGCAGCCAGCTATGGCTACAGGGTTTGTCGGTACATGTTGTTTATGTCGTTTATTGTGACATTTCGGTCTCTGTTCCTATGATCACTATTACATTGCTTATGGCTTTATTTTGGTGATTTCTAAAAGTTTTTTTGGTTTGGCCATGTTTGTTGCAGTACGGAGTTAGACTGATGGCTTTAATCTAAGTTGTATTGTGGTTGTTGTTGTTTGATTTGCATCCCACTGGGATTTTTGCACACAGCGTTGGTGTACGGTGCTTTTTCTGGAAGACTTTGCAGTTTTTTCCTGGATTTTTTTTGTTTGCGCATAGTCACTTTAAGATGTTTTCTTGTTCATGTTTTTGTTTTTTGTTTGTTGCCGTTGCACCCGATTCAAGAGCCGAATGGCTCACAGGGCTATAACTAATGAATGAAACTGAAACTGAAAACTGACTCATCCCCATCTATATATCTTAATTTGTGCTTACCGTAGTTGTTATCGCTGCTGCGTGGGGAGACTTTCATCCAGCAGTGGATTGACAAATGGCCGCAAATTAAAAAAAAATCGCTCACACATGCTCAGCCTTTAAAACATACACCGAGGATATACCATCGTCGCTAGCGAATAGATCACCTCGTGGCTCGCAGCACCTTTCCGCCGTCAGCACGGGAACACCGCATAACCCATTTGAACGATCCTCGCCGCGCGCGCGTGCATTGCAGGTGAGGGCAGACGATGCTGGCTACTACCAGTGCATGGCAGAGAGCCCGCTGGGCAGCGCGTGTGCCCTCGCTGTGCTCAAGGTGAGCGTGCTGGAGAGCCTGCTGTCGCCGCCTCACCACCTCACCGCCTCCTCGCTCTCCAACACCTCCGTGTTGCTGTCATGGGAACGGCCGGTGCAGCACAGCGAGCGCATCATCGGCTTCTCTCTTCACTACCAGCGTGCGACAGGTCCATGCACGCCAGCCGCTTGGCACTGACGGCTCCGTGCCCGATATGCGAAATGCAGGAGGAGGCACACACGTTCGTGAAGAAGGGCAGTGGGCATTACCTTTGTAAGAAGTCTCCGTCCCAGCTTAAATATACCCTGCCAAGCCTGGCGGTGCCCATTCAGACCGCTGTCTTTCCGACAGACCTGTTCTTCACCTGAGGACGGCTGCTTGCGTTGTGGCCGAAACGTCGTGAGAATTGTATTTTATTATGTTTTATTCTTATTATTTTATTATTTGCCTTCTACGTGACTTTACCGAAAGAACCACGAAGATGAATCCCTGCAGTCACGAAAGCTTTACATCGAAATTTAAGTCTCTCTACCTTTTCGAGAGAGTTATTCCGGAGGATGAGACTTATTCCGGAGGATGAGGCTTATTCCGATGAGAGTGACTGTACCCTATGCCCTTGTCGATTAGTCATCCTGCCTTTGTTGATGAGCAGGGTAAAGTGCCCATTGTGAATACGCGCCCCCTTGTAAAGGAGAATCTTCATACAACCGTCATATATAGTGAGATGTATAGCTGGGCATAAAAAAGTATTTGTGGAAACATATTTCTGAAAAGCAAGGGTATGCGAGGTATCACACTATGTTAAACAAAGTTGTGCCAGATATGACAAGCAGAAAATGGTTATATTTTATGTAACTACCTTTAATTACAGACTTGAATGTTCTTCCACTAAACAGGAGTGCGAAGAGAGCCATTGAGGAGAAATATAGCAGCCAGCTGCGTTGAGGCAGCCAAATGAATGAAATTGAACAAGGATGAAATTGAATGACATTGATATAAATATTTCAGTCCTTTAAAAAGTTTAAAAGGTCTTAGACATTCACAATTCAGCAGATTGGGTGCATTGCTAATTCCTGCTACAATTTACTGTCGTGGGTGTTGGAATTAAATTGTTTAATCTCTGACAATAGGTGTTGTGGTCACCACCGTTACCGATAGAATATCCAGACATATTTATAATATAGTTCACCACTAGCAAGAGTGGTCCATAGCACCGCAGAATAGCTTGTTTGAGTAGCTGTGCTTTCCTTTTAGCTATCGGACACAATGAAGTTAAAATATATATTTTATGTGGTGCTTTCTTCACCAGCACCACTACATTCACTCAATCAGGATTACAAAATAATGGGAATTTCGCCAAATATTTCACTAATGACCTATTTAGTTATACACTGTTTTTATTTCACCCATTTTTATTGACAATCCTAATAGATGTTCAATATCTTCTTAATAATCATGTCTTCCCAGCATCAGAGTATTGGTACAATTTTCTGATGATATCATGGACATCAGACGTGTAAGTAAATATAAATAAATGACATCACGTACGGAGACGAACTGCATTTGGAAATGTAATTCTGTGATTTTTATTTTATTTTGTTTGACCCTGTTTATTTCCAAGTGAAATGTTGTAAATGCAATCCTAAGTAGAAATACCGATAAAAACGAGGTGGCCTGGGCAGCTTTTAAAGGTCAGAATGCTAAGATTCTGATTTTCAATCCAGGCAGCCTCCTCTGAGTGCTCATGCATAACGAGTTGTTGCATCTCTCAGAGAGTTACCCATGGCTGCGCACACACAAAAATCACATAAAATGTGTTTTTTTTACTTAATTTAGCTACATTCGAGCTCAAAGAATTAAACATATCAAGGTTGACTGTCATGCAATTGCATAATTTACTAATTTATGGAAAGAGAGAGAAAATAAAAACAATACAAGTGTAGTGGAATAACGCGCGCTGGGGTTTGCAAGCGGTGTGCATGCATGTGCGAGTTACGGACAATGAGGTCGCATCGGGACGACCAGGTGTGGCGAGAGGGAGCAGCGGAAAGGAGACGGCCAATGAAGACGCATAGCAGTGATTGACTGGCTGCAAATGCAGGCGCGGAACAGGCGCCAGGTTGACGGGAGATTGAGGCGATAACGGCAGAAGCCACGGGCGTGAGACATCGGGAGGTCACCAGCTTAATTAATGAGGAGTTAATGAGGAGGAGGGGGATATATACGGGAGCGTGCGAGAGAGTTGTTGAGTTGGTCGGAGTGAAGACAAGAGGGGAGAGAAGAGAAGTCCCAAGCCCCGTGGTCCACACCTCGCCCTCTCCAGCGGTGATGGCTAAACCCGCACTGGAGGCAAGGGGCGAGGTTGGAGAGACGAGGGTAGAACAGGCCAGCAGTACAGAAGCTAGCGGAATCCCAAGTGTGAGTGTAAGAAGGCTAGCAGTAGAGAAGCTAGCAGAGAGTATATCTAGCAGTGGAGAAGCTAGCAGAGTATATAGTGGAAGGCTAGCAGTGGAGAAGCTAGCAGAGTGTATAGTGGAAGGCTATCAGTGGAGAAGCTGGCAGAGTATATAGTGAGAGGCTAGCAGTGGAGAAGCTAGCAGAGTGTATAGTGGAAGGCTAGCAGTGGAGAGGCTAGCAGAGTATATAGCGGAAGGCTAGCAGTGGAGAAGCTGGCAGAGTATATAGTGAGAGGCTAGCAGTGGAGAAGCTAGCAGAGTGTATAGTAATAGGCTAGCAGTGGTGAAACTAGCAGAGTATATAGCGGAAGGCTAGCAGTGGAGAGGCTAGCAGAGTATATAGTGGAAGGCTAGCAGTGGAGAAGCTAGCAGAATATATAGTGGAAGGCTAGCAGTGGAGAAGCTAGCAGAGTGTATAGTGGAAGGCTATCAGTGGAGAAGCTAGCAGAGTGTATAGTAATAGGCTAGCAGTGGAGAGGCTAGCAGAGTGTATGGTGGGAAGCTATCAGAGTGTGTAGTGGTAGGCCAGCAGCAGAGAGAGTGAGGCGAGCGGAGCGTGGCAGGCAGGCTAGCAGTGGAGAGGCTAGGAGAGTGAGAGAGAGAACAGGCTAGCAGTGGAGAGGCTAGGAGAGTGAGAGAGAACAGGCTAGCAGTAGAGAGGCTAAGAGAGTGAGAGAGAACAGGCTAGCAGTAGAGAGGCTAAGAGAGAGAGAGAGAACAGGCTAGCAGTGGAGAGGCTAGGAGAGTGAGAGAGAGAACAGGCTAGCAGTGGAGAGGCTGAGAGAGTGAGAGAGAGAACAGGCTAGCAGTGGAGAGGCTAGGAGAGTGAGAGAGAGAACAGGCTAGCAGTGGAGAGGCTAGGAGAGTGAGAGAGAGAACAGGCTAGCAGTGGAGAGGCTAGGAGAGTGAGAGAGAACAGGCTAGCAGTGGAGAGGCTGAGAGAGAGCGAGCGGAGCGAGCGAAGCTAGCGCAGCAGACGACCAGCACAAGCGGGATAATCACGACGGAGTTACGGGCTGTCGAAAGCGAGGAGTTCTGTAAAAAAAAAGTGACACAGGAGGAAAAGAAGAAGTTGTCCGAGTGAAATAAAAAGACTACACAAGTAATATGAATAACCTTATGGGCTGAATGTAGATTATCAACGAAGTGTACCTGTTCAACAACATTTGGCTTATGCCATGTGCTAGTTAAGCTAATTAAAATAATATTTAGGAAAATTGTAAGAGCCATTTAAGTGAATTCCCTGGCTCATGCATTAAGAACAACTAAAATCCCCAGTCAGGAATCTGAACTGTTGGGACAAGAGTGCTGTGATTCTGCATCCCAGGATCTTGTTCACACAAGAGAGCAGAGCTCGTGAGAAAAATGAATGACTCGCTCAGCACTCTATTCGACTGCCTTGGCTCTTTCCGTTCCTATTGCTGACACACCAACACCAGATGCTTACGTTCATTTGCTGAATCGACCTTTTGCCAATTGCAGCTTCAAATATTGAAATGCAAAGCCAATAATGTAACCTGAGTTGCAAAAAATAGTAACACACAGTAGACACACAGATGCACGCACATGCAACATACTTGAATTGAAACATCAACAGTAATACTGAAAAATAACAATGTTAAATTCCTGCCCTTGCTGATCAGCAGTGAGAGTCTTTTCTTACCTTATCATACTACCATAGCATTATTCATGTATTGCAAGCTATGTGTCACTCTGCTAATCAGCAAAGTAGTGTGATGATATGCGATACACCAACAAAATGAAGATGATTTTGTCAGATGTCAATATGACCTGGAGAGCAAACAGAATACACGTCTAATGGAACTCTTGGTTGGTTGTGATTTCTCATGAGACACACCTATTTATGGCCTAATTACAATATTTTAAATATAATTATCACGCTAAAGATGTATTGAAAGATTTTTCACTTCATTGTAATTATACAATTTTGCATGTATTTTGAACTTCTTTCGCACTGTACGTAGCCAACCGTGCCGACCGGAATATTGAAATATATTTACGTGTTTATTGGGCATACCCGTGTTAATTCGTGAATGAATACGATTTGAGAAGCGAGAACCAAGAGCCCCTGTGCGTATGGTCGCGTTCCTGTGAACACCGCGGCGGTGGCGCGGGAGCGGGCAAGGCACCGCCGAAGCTTGCGGTACATCAATGGCCATTCATTCCAAATTGGCTTTTTTTTCCCATCAAGTCACATACTTGTCACAAACCCCCCTTTTGTTATAAGGCGCGCGCACACTGTCCGTGCGCGGATGACGATTGCACACGATCGCTGTTGATCGCCTCGCCTCACCGTGTTGACCGGCCGTTTTCCCGTTGTGCAGGAATCAACAACAAAGAATACCAGGAGGCGGTGAATAATGACACGACACAGTACCTGATTGAAGACCTGGAACCCAACACCAATTACACCTTCTACGTGGTCGCCTACTCCCAGCGTGGGGCGAGCAGCAGCTCGGGGTACCTCGCGGTGCACACCCTGGAGGGAGGTAGGTCTCCTTGCTGGGACGACGCGCGCAATTAAGGATGATAATTTGTGTCAGGCGCACACCGCTTACGATTCATCGTACGCTCCCAATTTCTCACATTGCCACGGATGCATTGTTTGCACATCATACACGAGCTGCTCTTGTGAATCGTCACGAGCGGAAATTCTCAATGCGATCAAGCAAACCACGAACTGTGGAAGGCTTACATCACTGTCAATGTATAAATTTGTATCAATTAAATCGTTGGTGTAGGTGAAGATGTTATATGGTTAGAACGCCTCTTACCTGCGACTATCTCATCAACGAAAACCTGTTATCCTCGGGGGGCGTTAGATCTACGAGTCTTCTTGTCATCTATAGAATCCCATGGATTCGCATGCATAGGATTCTCAGAGTCCATAGCTGTCATCGCGGCCACGGTGAAGTTTCTGTGCTGTGGTGGGGAGCCTGTTTGTCTTGTCCGGGCTGTGCGTGTCACATTACACGTGGAACATCTGGCACCCTGTAGGGAACGGCTATTAGTTGTGACAACCTTTGCTACATCGCCGGTAAGAGACTACCCACTGTACTTAGCGTGCAGCATGATCATAAACCAACTCGGGTGCTTCACAAAGGGCAATGCAATGACTGCTGCATTTTAAAGAGCAGGCGGGCTGCAATAATTCTAGATTTTAAGCTTTCGTGACTGCAAGGATTCATACTCTTTGGTTTTTTCGGTAAAGTCACGTAGGTGAAAATAAAATAAATGAAAACAACTAAATTAAATCAGCGCTTAAGCCGTTGTGCTTTCGCTACGTTGTCCCCACCTGAAGAAGGACGCTTGTGTTGCGCCCGAAACGTCGTGATTTAATTTAGTTGTTTTCATTTTGTTTTACCTACGTGACTTTACCGAAAAAAACAAAGAGCAGGCAGGCTGCAATAGTTTGAAGAAGAGATTTTTTGAGAGGCTACATTGCAATATAACTTTACATGATACCTGTGATATGAATGAAACAATACACAACATGCATGTGTACGCTTAACATGCAATTCACGTTCTTGGGTCTTTCGGTAAAGCCACGTAGATAGGTTAAAAAAAATAAAAAATAAAAACTACGACGTTTCGATCGCAACACAAGCAATCGTCATCAGGAGAAAAAAGAGCGAGAAAGCTGCTGAGGCGGGCTGTTTTAAAGGTTTAAGGTTTGAAATGGGTGTAGCCCTTTAAAACAGCCTGCCTCAGCAGCTTTCCCCGCTCTTTTTTCTCCTGATGACGATTGATTGTGTTGCGACCGAAACGTCGTAGTTTTGTTTGTTATTTTTGTTATTTTCTTTGAACCTATCTACGTGACTTTACCGAAAGACCCAAGAATATGAATTCCTGCAGTCACGAAAGTCAAGATTTATATACAATTCACGATGAAATTGAGCAGTTTTCTGGAGACTCGGGTAACCTATGCAGGAAGCATGGTTAACCCCTGAATGTTCACAGTATTTAATTCACGCTCAAAGATGATCCAATGATTAACTATATCTCATGGTTGTATAAATTGTCAAAAGTTAACTACATAGAGTATGGCAGATTAAAGTCTGAACCAAAATAAATGTGAAATGTTGAGTTTGATGCTAAAATATTCTGATTAAGACAAGTCGAGACTGATTCTCAATATGAATTACATTACACAGTTTCACGTGACAAAACACCAATGCACTAAAGCATTACGTCACACATTTTATCTTTCGCACGGTGAAAAAGTCAAACTGGCAAGTCAAAATGAAGTTACATTGAAATGTTCGCACAGGAAATGAGCCGTTTCTTAAGCCTCCTATGCATGACAGAAGCAACCAGTCCAATGAAGTGTCCAGTTCTGTGCATCTCACCAATGGCAATGACTGGGCTCCTTCCTGGCGCTCTATCTTTCCCTCACCCCAAATAACCCCATCGCTTAGGCTCTGCGCCATCTCTCATCCCGCCCCGATCTATTCAGCCACTCCACCGTCCACTTCAGCTCTGCTCTCTCGGCCTCCCCACCCCACCTGCCCAACGCATTGCCTGCACACCCCCCCCCCCCCATAGGCATGGGGCTCCACCACTCTGCCCCCCACCCCCCAGTGTCTTCCTCCCCCTTGCGTTACGGTGCACCCATCAGCGCGACGAGCCAATCCAAAAGGTAGCAACCCTAGCCGCTAGCAATTTGAGTTAATCCGTGTTTTCAGCACACAGTGAACCCCCCGCCGCTCCTTTGAATGACGTGAGAGCAGACGGTGATACATGGCAATGGCCTGCAAACGTGACCAAAGAGTTTTAGAATCTGTAACTGTTAACCAAGCACCAAACTGTTCAAAAGCAAGTAAGTGCTTTAACTATGTTATCCAGCCACATTACCTCTGTATTAGCGATGTCATCAATGTCGGTGGTATCAGTGTAAATAACAAGTATCGTGCTCAGTCTGCTTAGCAGACAGGGTATATGGTGAATGGGGTGCTTGAGCACGGTGTGACAGGGTGCATGAAATTGTCCATTGCCCATGGATAGACAAAATAAATGGCAAGTCAAATGGTTAGACAGGTTCCCCAGGTCAATCTTGCAAATTATACTTATTGTCTCAATGGGTTTTCACGTGGACATTTAAAAACTACTGACCCGAAGGTCTATTGATACTCACGTCACATCACATATCATCAAGGGCAACCGCCATATTTATGCTAGTTTAAGGCCTCCTTATACTGATACCACCAACGTTGATCTTTTGGAGATACAATTCCACTCCTCTATCTGCCCCTGGGTGGGTCTTACATAGAGTAAAAACAAAGACTTTCAGGGTATGAGTGATGCAAATCTAAAGACTAATCAATAGCTAGTTTATTTAATTTATCTATCTTACCAGGTAGGGCCCACTGGGCTATACAGCTCTTTTTTCAGAAGCGACATGGGCACGAATGATAACTCATTGAAGTGGCTTATCACGTGGACATTTATAGCAGCCAAATACTCTTAAATGTGGAGAGAAAAACCAGAGGACCCGGAGAAAAATCCATGCAACCACAGAGAGAACATACAAACTCCAAATATACAGGCATCACGGTCGAGATCGAACCAACGACCTCCTGAATGGCAGGCCAGGTAGTTAACATCTCGCCACCATTATGCAGCCCACGGTTGGCCGTGGGCTGCATAACTGGTCCCCAAAACATGACGTATTGTTGTTTCATTGTTCTCTGCAATGTTTTGGTTTTCTGTGCATGCTTATCTGTTGGTTGTGGTCGTCGTGGCATTAAAATATAAAACGGCATATGTGTTCTATGCACTCCTAATGTGGGGTGTTTGCTGATCCACCAACAGATGATTTGCATGTTTTTTTTCGGTGGGATTCTACTAAATTGATTCACAAAATGATGTCAATCGTAATGATATCCATATTAAACCAATGACCAAATCACCTGGAATGTGCCTGATCTTACGTCTCGCAAGCTAAGCAGGCATTTAGCTTGGTGGTATGATTTGGGCAGCAAAGGGTAGTGTTGCAAATACCATTGTTTTAGGGTACCTCTATGCTCCTCGCATTCTCAAACCGACACTGACTGGCATGGTGAAGTATGGTCTAACAACCCGAATTACTTACACGGCGTGGGCAGGTCTTTATACAGTAGTGTTAACAAATAAACAAAAATAAAACATAATAAAATAATTCTCACGACGTTTCGGCCACAACGCAAGCAGCCGTCCTCAGGTGAAGACCAGGTCTGTCGGGGAAACAGCGTCAGACGCTGTCTCCCCGACAGATCTTCACCTGAGGACGGCTGCTTGCATTGTAGCCGAAACGTCGTGAGAATTATTTTATTATGTTTAATTTTTATTATTTTATTATTTCCCTTCTACGTGTCTTTACCGAAAGAACCAAGAAGATGAATCCCTGCAGTCACGAAAGCTTTAAATCGAAAAATAAACAAAACTCAACACTTTCGTCAATACTTGTTTTCTTGTTAATTCTCCATGTGCATCACTGGCAATGCAACATTACCAATTAATTTGTTTGTATCCAGCAGTGGATTGACAAAGGGGTGTGCATCTAGAACAAACAAAAAATATGTCTATTTCATACTCTCGTAGAAAACCTGAAGCTATTCTTTTGGCGTCTGGAACTAAAGTTTTGTCTCAATTGCCGCCTGTTCACCCGCCACGAACCTCACCCCTCCTTCATGCAGTGCCGATGGGTGCTCCCCACATCTCGCTGTTGAGCAGGAGCGCTAACAACATCGCTGTCACCTGGCTGCCCCTGAGCGGCGAGCTGAGCCGAGGCCGCGTCATCAAATACCGCGTTGAGTACTTCACCCAAAGTGAAGGTGAGCACATGCGGTCGCGCATGAAAATGGCTTGCACCAACGCAGCTGGAAAGCGTGCCTTCATTTACAGGAGTGCGCATGCATGGATCAACCGCGATGCAGAAAAGCGCACGCGCTTTTTTTTATCGGCACACTAAATGGGCAACTAGGGCCAATTTGTGTGCTTCGTACTTTGGTAATGTAACAATTTTTTTTTCTGTTTTAAGCTGTGATTTTTACTGGACTCAACTTCCCCTGTACATTTAGCAGACCCCTCCTAAACCTCCTTCTGTTACTCTCTTAAAGCTCACCTCTCTTCTATCGCTCATATTCATCCTGTTCCCTCATCTCGCCCCTCCACTCCTTCAATTCCCTACCCTTTAGTGATCTCTAACTCGCCTCTATCACGGTCACTCATTCTTCAATCCGTGTATGCCCCTGCCATCTAAACAGTGCCGGATTTAGGCATAACATAAGTAGGCTACAGCTTAGGGCCTCGCTTTATGAGGGGCGTCTACATGCTAAAAATAAATTATCGTACGAAGTTTCAAGTTTTACGTAATTGGTTGAAAAATGAAGGAGATAGAGGAAACAAAGACTCTCTAAAATGTAATTTTCATTCCAATATGACAACAATATACAGGCATTCCTCGATTTATGAACCCTAAGATTGACATTGCTTCGGGCCCCATAATGTCATAATCCGGCCCTGCATCTAAATTATCCTGTTTTGTAACCGTTTTTTTTTCTTTGTCAAGCGCCTTGAGTGAAGGCGCTCTATTAATCTAAAATTAGATTAGATTGTAGTGTTGTAATTGGTTCTCTAACTTGTTTTGTTGCTGCTGCAGCTACATTTTTAGTCAATTGAACCAGGGTACCTGTGAAAATTATACGTTTCAAATGGGATTTCTTTCCTGGTTAAATATTAAAAAAATATATATATTAATTTCAAAAGAAGGAGTGTATCCATCAGCCCTTCCCACACCATGGCTATAGAAGCGAAACTCTACCATTTTAAAAATGTATGTAAAGCTTCCCTTGATAATTTTGCAGGACCATGGCAGACACTGCATCATTACCCTTATCTGTGCAACAAAACCTTTGAAAGCAGGACTTGTATGCGAATGCATGTCGAACTTATTTCGCACCATATGTACCCAACCGTGCTCAACGGAGGTGCGCATATATGTACTATAAATTCAAAAGCGTCTGTGTCTATAAGTATTGCACGTATTTATTGTATGGGATTTGGGAATTCCTGTTTGAAAACCATTGGTCAGAGACGCCATGAACTGTTTCAACATAATCAGACACCCTTTGCAAGCGCAACAATGGCACTTGGGAAATCTTGTGCACGATGTTCTGGAACATTCAGAACTAGCCTCTTCACACTTGCATCTGTTCTGATTTCCTAAAGAAGCTCTATATGTGGAGGTGGTTTGATTAGTGACTTGGCTGCGAACACGGTGGTGCAGTCATAGCTAAAGAATCAAGCACGAGACTTCTGTGCTGCTGGCATTTGGAAACTTGAAAAGTCTTTGGGCAAGTGTATATTAGTAGACAGTGACTGTGTGGACAGTGTAATGCTTACAAATAAAAAAAACAATAATTTACAGCACATTGTCAATCCACGACTGAATGACGTCATCTCCACACTGTAAGTCATGTATTTTTTCTTACCACGCGTCACCATGCTGATCGGTGCGTAGTGGTGAAATGGGAGCCCTGTACTGGTTCAGATATCACTCATGGTGGCCATGGCCAGGAATTGAACTCAGTTTGCTGGGTTCATAGCACGGTGCGATCGACACTGTGCCACTACTCCACCGCTTTACCCATAACATCTTAACAAACCATCAGCATTCGGAAATCCACTAAATGAGGAACACCTCCCCAAACTACCACCACCACGTCTCGTGGTCTTGTGATGAACTAATCTAGCCACATGATAGGAATTAATTCTTCCATTTCCTCGTTGGAAGTCCTGTCACATGTGTTCCATTCCTTAGCTACCGTTCTATTATTATTCTTGACCACCATTCATCATTCCTTCAAGCAGCATGTCCTACCCAAGCCCATTTACTTTGCTTTATGGTTTGTACATCATTAATCGGTGTATGTTCTCTAATCCATGTGTTTCTCTTTCGTCTGTCTCTCAGTGTAATTCCAGACATGCATCTCTCCACATTTATTTGCACACTTTTCAGTTTTGCGGTCCTTATTTTCACGAACGCCCATGTTTAAGAAGCATATGTCATAACAGGCAGTACACACCGATTAGAAAAAAAGTTGTACGATTCATGCACATTGTTACGCTACCTTTCATTATCAAGTTCAGCTTTTTATAAGCACCTCATGTCTTCTGCCTCTTTATCTCATCATTTGGATCCCTGTTCGCGTTGATAGATTTCAGAGGTATATACATATATATACTCTGCTCTGTTTTGCAGTTGTTTCCATCTGATAGATACTTCCAATTGTTTAGCGAACTTAACTGTTACACATGACCTTTGTGTTACTCATCCTGAGTCCAACTTTGCAACCTGCTCTATTCATTTATTCTTACACATGTCCTTGGAAAATGATTTTCGTCTCTTCACTTACAGAAACATCCTTATTGGTCTTTCAGGCATGTGCTCATTCACCATCATGGGAGAAAAGTGTTTACAAACAATATATAGTTTGAATAAAAATTAAGTATACATTTGAATAATAAATCTGTCTCATTTAACGCTGTAATTTTTTAAAATTGTATTTAGCCTATGTGTATATGTACTGCACATGGCATGCAAATATAAAAGATGCAAATTACCTTGAAGGCCTTACTGAACGACATGAAAGAGGCTCGTTGTTAATAGGAGATGGGTTTTAAATGCAATGAATGCTTAGTATTGACCTCCCCTCATAGGTAACACCTGCTTACATAAAACATGCATTTTCACTTATGAGAAATACTATGTGGGTATATGGATATTTTATATAATGCTCAGATTTGTATAGAACAATGCAATCGTGGAATGCAGAGTAATTTCTGTTTTAAAACATCGGTCCGTAAGGATGCGATCTCTCAAGCAAAATCTGTTCATCCTGTTTCCCGAATTGCTACCGGAAATTATAATGCGAGAGTTCTATTCGCCACTGTTAATCACCTTCTGAATCCAGGTCAACAGCTTAATTACTTAATCTCTGCTTATCATTGCAATTCACTGGAACATTTTTTTTCCTTCTGATAAAATCACCCGCTATTCCCTCTCAATTACTGCAAACACCAACGGTCCCTCTTCCTCCTGATTTCCAACCACCTCTTTTTAAGGGCACAGTGTTAGCTGAGTTATCTTATATCATTTTTTCTGAACTCACCACGCTCATTGCCAGGTCTCATTCTACCTACTGCACTCTGTACCCTTTCCCCGCATTATAACTCGGGAAAAACTTTGCTCCCTTGGTCTCATTAGTTTTAGATATGCTCAACAGGTCCCTCAAAACTGGTATAAGTCTCTTCATTTTAGTGATTCGCTTACCTTTCCTATACTTTGCACTGCCATTGTGTTTTTGTATTGTTTGTTGTAATTTTCTGACCCACAGGACATATGTGAAAAAGAGCTTCATAGCTCATCAGATTCCTCCAGTATTAATAAAGATTCTGATTCTGTAGATGGAAGTCGTAGTACCACTTTTGGCCTAGACACGGAACTCACCAGCAGTTTTCGTCCAATTTCAAATATTCAATATTCATTCGCAATGCTTGAGCGTGCAGTGGCCATACGGTTTCTTCACCATTTGTCCTTTTTATTCAGGTTTTTGACCTGTATACAGCACCCAGAAAGCTCTGATCAGGGTTGACAATGATTGACCAACATCTGCAAACAAAAAGTTTTCCAAGCATTCTCGTTCTGCTTGATCTTGGCACAGTTTTTGATACAATTGATCACAGCATTTTATTCGAGTGGTTGGAACTCATGATGGAATTCTCAGGCTCCGCCTTACAATGGTTCCGTGTGCAAAATGTCACTTTGGGCAGTTTTAGATTTTCTGATAGTCGGGTTGTATACGGCTTCCCTCGGGAATCTATGCTTGGTCCTACTTTTTTTTATCATCGTCGCTCTTAGTTAGTTGTAACCTAATTTTCTTCAACTTAACGGTGATAAAACCAAGGTCATTGGCTCCCCCCACCTGTTGTCTCTTCAGTTTGGTGATCGAAAGTCAAAACGTCAAACGATTGTGCCCTAATCAGCATAAACGTGCTCCAGGCTTCGAACCCGAGCTGACCACGGGGCTTCTGTCCACACGGCACCCAGGCTCTGCAATTCCCTGCCCTTGGAGGTCAGGAACTCACAGTCGATGGAGACTTTTAAGTCCAGGTCGAAGACCCCACCTATCTTAGAATGTCATTCCCTCTCTCTCTCTGTCGTTCTCAAACTTGTCTCTTTAGCCTTTCTGTCCCTAGTTACTTCCCACTTATTTCCCTCCTTTACATGCATGGCTCTCTGAGATCCATTTTTTAAGGATGCCTTAAACATGTGTAGAGGAGTAAAATGGGGACGTGACGTCATGTGTGCCGTTCAGTGCGATGACGTCACGTCTCCTAGGGTACTTAAGGGATACCCCGTGACGTAAGCGGGGTCACTGTGGGAACGGGTAGAGTAAGAAGGGTGAAGAGGGAACCAGTGGGTAGAGAGAGGGATCGAATAGTGAGTCTGGGGAGAAGCCGGTGGTAGCCGTAGAGGTGCTTCTCTCTCCGGTCGGTGGAGTCGGCAGAGTCCCCGATCCAACACGAGAGAGAGAGAGACCGGAGCTAGCCGGCAGGGACCCGGACTCAGAGTAGGACCCCTAGCCCCTGGGAGTTGTGTACCCTTGTGTGTTATTGTTAAGCTTTAATAAATCCTGGCGAAAACCCTTAACTTACCTCCGTCTCCGAGTACGTCCGTCGGAACTTCTCTACACATGTAAATGATTATCTTCAAAACATATATTTGTACGTCATGAAAAAATATATTGTTTAGTGCATATTTGTAAGATAA